CACTCAGATCCAGGCTATCTGGGGACATGTAATACGAATGGGAAATGTTCAGTTTTCATGTAGTTATGTATTTTTATGTCTTTTATTATTTTCTGTCTAAGATGGCGACTGTCCTTGTCCTGGAGTTAATTGAGTTACTTGGTAATTAACTCCAGGGCAGAGGGGAGGGAATCCTAATGCACTGTGGGTAAAATATGTGACTGTGTGTCTGAAATGTCCCTCTATCTGTCTGTAGTTTAAGTCTCCCATTTGGTCCCCTAGGGGAGTGTCCACCAGGTGGGAGACCTGCATAAATACGGGCAGGTAGCCCACAGTAAAACCAGATTCTGTTTGACCCTCAATGCGGAGCTTCTGTCTCGTTATTGGGGGGATTTCTTCTTCACGTTTAGAGACTGCTGGATGGAACGAAAGCCGCTTGGGGAATATTACTGTTCGACGATTACCAGCAGTTCGTGTATTGCCGTTCGGGAGTTTGGAGCCGTTCACGGAGCTCGGTCGGGAGATTGCCGCTTCCCCTGCATTTGGTTCGTGTGTTATAGATTAAGCGAACGGAGACTGTACTGCAGCCGGGGAAGGTATACTAAACGGCGGTTTGGCTTAAAGACACTGGAGGTGTCTTAACAGTGTTCCTTTATTGTTAGATCGATTTCTTTACCCAAAATACCTGTGCAATACTTAATGTTAGAATAATTTCTTTACCTAAATATCTGAACAATACTTAACGCTAAATTAATATGCTCAACAAAATACCTGTATGATGTTATATTCTAATTACCATAATGTGGTAGACCAATGGATGTACTTTTGATATGTCTTACCGTAACCCTCAACCACCATCAGTTAAACATTGAGCATTTAACAGAACTCGAAGATTCATGGAATCCCCTTATCAAAATATGCGCCAAAGTCAAGGAATACTCATTAGTACCAGGTCAACTTTAAAGGTGTAATCTAAGCACCGTAAGCCCTAGTGGTCTCACCTTTATCATTACCATCCAGGTTGGAGAAAATTAACATTGATAATGTTGACATGTAAATTCTACATGATTTCAGATGAAGATGGTGCTGGGGAGAGCCACAGTTTATGTTAAGCTGTATCCAAACATTTTCACACAAAAAGTCCATAGACTATTTGCAGTGTAAGAACTATACTCAGTTGTAGTGGTGATGGTGCAACCAGGGTTCTTAAAGGGTTACTACAACCACCATGACCACTTCAGGGATTTGAAGTGGTCACGGTGGTAGGAGTCAGTATGTGCAGTGTTTCTGCTTGAAGCTTCTGGTCATGATTAAATCCATCGACCGGAAGTGACGTCAGACACCATACTGATCGCCGGCAGTCCAGACGGTGCGAGTTGAGAAGCTAATCAGCTAGATACTTAATACAGGGAATACACAGGACCAAACAGAGTCATTGAGAAAGACTGCAACAGTTGAAACACGTCTGAACTCTGCTAGTACTTTTATGTGATTTTATTTTTACCTATGTTTATAGGATCATTTGAGCAGTATACAGAGCCTGGTAGGGCTCTACAATCTGTGAGTGCAACCATTAACTACCATTACACCCTGATATGTTTACAGTGTACACTATGAGTTGTATTTTTTTTATCATTTCAGGCTCTGCACTCGAATTATTAATAACTAACCCATTCATAAGTATAACCTTATATATGCACTATAAGAGTGTTGTTTACCTTGAGTTCTTTTTGTCGTATTGTGTGAACCTTTGGTTAAGTTTATTATCACTGTCATTAAGGTATAGGGAAACACCTATGTTCACCCCAAGTGCAACTACATAGTAAGAAATAGTTTTGAAGCGCCATACATCTGTTATTTTTATCCATTAGAAATTGTGTGCCTGGTCAAGTTGCACCCCCAGCACATGTGACATTGGAAGCCCAGAACACTGTCACATTGACAGCCCAAATGTCTGTTCCAGACTGTCTAATGTCAATTCTGTGCATATTCAATGTCTTTTGTCAGCGTGCACTGCGCAAGCTTACTCTTGCCTCCCACCCTTCCTCCCACTAGGTGCCCCCTCCCGTCTCCCTGCATGTGCATTTAAAAAAATAAATAAACCTGCCTCCCTACACCACCCGACCCCTTGGAGTGTTCTGAGCCAGCGAACTGGTCTCCCAGGTTTCTCTATGAGAAGTCTGTAATTGGACTGCACATGGCCTCAGTGACATTAGGAGGGGGCACAGAATAGCAGCGGTGATAACTTTGCCTTGCACTATACTTCAGGTAAGTAAAACCTTTTATTCTCAGGTTTTACAGCAAATTGATAAGGGAAACCTTACCTACAATGCCCAATAGCACATATGAAATGAGAAAGAGGTATAGTAACACTTTAAATGTATTTCTTGTTTAAGGAAGTGAAGGGTTACAGAACAGTTTTCATGTCAAAATGGGAGACAATTGACACCACTCCCCGTAGGTCATGTGTTGGTGTGGTTTTTCCTGTCCTCCTGAAGTGGCAATCCAATACAGAATCTGCTCTGTTGTGGTGTTCATAATCTCATTTGATCTCAAGTGGTTTAATTCTCTCATATTCTGCTATTCGAAGGCTTAGCAAACCAACCAGGATGTACATTAAATAACAAGGCGTGGGTGCCAACTGTGAATGAAGTATTGGCTTCTCTGTATTATGGAAGTCCATCCGCCCCATTAACCTCTTAAGGACCAAACTTCTGGAATAAAAGGGAATCATGACATGTCACACATGTCATGTGTCCTTAAAGGGTTAAAACAACTTTTTATGAAATGTAGAGCGGTTTCAACATTTTGCAATTTTGACTCACTGAATAACCTGGCTAAGTGTTGTGAACAGCTCACTGTGCCCAAAATGTGTTAGAACTTTGTCACCAAACATGAAATGAAAGCCTTAAAGGACCACTATAGTGCCAGGAAAACATACTCATTTTCCTGGCACTATAGTGCCCTGAGGGTGCCCCCACCCTCAGGGTCCCCCTCCCGCCGGGCTCTGGGGAGAGGAAGGGGTTAAAATCTTACCTTTCTCCAGTGCTGGCCGGGGAGCTCTCCTCCTCCTCGCCTCCTTCATAGCGACGTCATCGGCTGAATGCGCATGCAGGAGCCGCGCACGCATTCAGCCAGTCCATAGGAAAGCATTCACAATGCTTTCCTATGGACGCAGGCGTCTTCTCACTGTGATTTTCACAGTGAGAAGCACACAAGCGCCTCTAGCGGCTGTCAATGCGACAGCCACTAGAGGCTCTAGAGGCTGGATTAACCCTATTATAAACATAGCAGTTTCTCTGAAACTATGTTTATAAAAAAAAAGGGTTAACCCTAGCTGGACCAGGCACCCAGACCACTTCATTAAGCTGAAGTGGTCTGGGTGCCTATAGTGGTCCTTTAATGCTGTGAGAAGTCTTTGACACAAGATACTTGGGAATTTAACAAGTCAACAATAAGGGTAAAAGTTTTGCTTCTTGTAGTCCAGGCGATAGAGCATTTTTGCACTGTTCTTCTCTTATTCCCCTTTTCGGAATCTGCAAGGGTTTTAAACCACTGTTTCACAATCTCATGTTTTGTACACTAAATTACTGTGTTTTAATTATTAGTATCATAGCTTTGTGTAATGTGTGTTGAGCTGTATTGGCCATAAGGACACCATCACATTTGTAAAATGGACAACTGCGTGTATTCAACATCTTCTTTGACATCCAAAAGCTTCGATCCATTTAATATCCCGTTATTAGGTTAAAAGAATCGTATCTAACCCACCACTATATATCAGGGGTAGAATTAATGTTGGGACAGTATATTAGAACCTTACTTAAATTTAAATTTTTGGTTACAAACAGGAAAAAAAGGGGTAAGATCAAGTTAAAATGCACCTTTAATTCTTTTTCCCTACTAGGAATAATAGGAAAGATTCCACAATTTTTGTGTTTTTTTTCCGATTTTTCAGTTGACCTCATTCAGATCTTCAAGACAATCATCCCACGAAGAAATAACTAAAACCAGCCCAGAAAACAAAGAGCAATTCTTTCTTATTTTTTTTAAAAAACAAAATAAAGTGAAATAATAAAAAACAACTTTTTTTTTTGTTTAATTCTAAAACTCATGATTAAAACCTCATACAAACAAGGTGTATAATATATATTTTAACCCATTGTAAGCCGGCAAGACTTTCAACACTTCGCCTTGAAAGTATCACAGGCTTACAAAAAGTTAAGATATAAGTATATATATTTTTATTTCTCTCGTTTGTTTTCTGTCTCTCTTTACAGCAAACATTGCAAATATAGAAATTTGTATCTGTACAGTGTAATAGTGATCACAGTTTTGAATGCAGCTGAACAAGTTTTATGGAAGCCTCCCTATAGGCAAAGTCTGCATTGGAAGACTCAGTTGAATTACAAATAAACAGAACAAAACAGATTACTGTCTATTCCAGTCTTTTTTGTGTTTTTTTTTTTTGTCGTCCTGCGGTGATGGAGGGAAGTAACGAAAGATCACACAAGTCAAACCACACTAGTCAGATTATGAAAAAAAACATGCGATAATGCAAAGTTCAAACCACTCCCAAATTCTCACGCTCTTTTGTCTCAATTCTTTATTTGTTTTTATCTTTCATGTTTTTCTCTTCTTTTGTTAAAAAAATTAACTCCTCTTCACAGTTTAAGCGTATAATTATATTTTTTTTTAGTAGTACGTTTTTTTTTTTTTCGTTTTCTGATTTGGTGCATATACTCACAAATGTGAGATTTTTTTAAGCAATTTTATTTTTCTATATGATATATTATTATCTTATATATTTTTTTTAATTTTCATTCTTGTAGACAGTTTTGAGTAAAAATTAGCTGCTGCTAGTTTGATTTTGGTCCTGTTAACCTCTTTTCTGCTGAAGAGACCTGCAGAGTGTTGCATACCCACAATGCTCTGCTGGTCTCTCTGGCTGACACAGGGTTAAGGGTTATGAAAGAAAGTTAAGTCACGAGTAGCTGGAGGCAAAAAGTTGAGGTGAGAACTCAGGACTTGTGCTGGGCAGAGACGCCCTTCCAGTAGTCTAGGATGTCATGGAGATCCTCATCTTTGGCAAACTGGACCTTTTTGCGCAGGGCATGGCCCGCAGCCATGTATTCTTCCTCTTTGTGGCGCTTGCGATGCAGTTTGAAACGCTCCCAGATGCTGTGGGAGGGTTTGCACGTGTATTCTGGGCTGGAAGTGTAGCTCAGGTTGTGATAGTGAGGCGAAAGTTGGGAGTAGGCTAGTTCCCTTGGCCGAGAACGGGTTAAAGGTTCCAGTATTGAAGTCTTGCGCCCTCCCATGTTGTCGTGTTGCGGAGGTTGCTGTTGTTGCTGCTGCTGTTGCTGCTGCTCGCCCTGGTGTGAGCCAGGGTAGGAATGTCGGTGTTCTGTATACTGACGGATCTTCTCTGCTTCTGCTCTCAAGATAGCAGCAGCTGGAGTCACAGTGAGGATGGTGTCAGCAGTAGGGGATGTCTTCTCAATGTACTTTGCTTCAGACTTGTGTGCTGACCCCTCAGAGCGAAATGATCGGGGACTGCGGATAGAGCCACTGGAAGAAGTGCTGGAGCGTTTGGGAGGGCCCTCCATACTGTGATGCCTCTGCAAAGGGTGGGAGTAGCTTTCCTTATAAACTGGTGAAAGAAATCCATGCTTGCTTGGAATCTGTTCTGAAATCAGTACTAACTGGGGTTCCGCTGTAGATACAGCTCCTGACTTCACCCCTTGGAAAGAGGTGGACTCCGATTTCAGTGCATCTATGCAATTATTAATTATCTGATTAACTTTGTCCACCTCTTTAGCAATTGTGGAAATCTCAGCCACAGAACTCTGAGAATCCGGGGGCATGGAGAGTTCACAATCCCTTCGCTCAGACTGTTCACCTGTCCGCACCTCCATGTAGTTCCCCTTGGTGGTTTTCGGTGTTTCACTTGTCTCTATTAATTTGTACTGCTCTACTTCTCCCACTGAAGGCAAGTAAGGAATGCGAGATATTGTCTCGGCACTCATCATCTGCCCTTGAGACAGCTGAGTGATGCTGGGCGTCTCCATCTCAGGCCCATATTTGAGTTCAATAATAGTTTTTTTCATATTACTTCCTGCCTTTTTGTGCTTTTTTTCCTTCTGTCTCCTTTTGCGCAGGCAGTAATAAACAATACCCAGAATGATAACCATACCAAACAAACAGCCAAGTATAGTCATGATGTAGTGAGTGGCAGTGGATGGAGTAGGCACAGGTTCTGTTTTGGTATGGCTGCGTGTGTAAAAGGCTATACAGGTGTGGTTGAACCTGAGAGAGTTACGAATGGAGGCCACGCAATAAGTGTAGTTTGTATTGGCTTTCAAACCATCCAGTTTAATAAACTCTTTCTCTGTCTTCAGGTTCCGAATGTCAGTAAAGAAACTATTGTTGTACTGGACCAAGATGTACATCTTGCTAAATGGGTAAGGTATTTCTGCCACAAGAGTTGCGTCTGTGTGCGTTTCTGTATTTAAGTTGACGCTGAGGCTGACCTTGGAGTTGGCAGGTGGGGTGTATACATTAATCAAGGGTGTAGTTCCATCTCCAGAAAAGCAATCCTCTTCAGAACATGGCATTTCAGGAGGACCAGTTGTTGCTTGATATCTCGGAGACATAAGGTGTGGCATCATTGTATATGAGCCATCTGTGCAGAGAGAGGACAACATGCCGAGAGCATTTCTATAGTTTGATCGACCCTGGCCCAGCAAATAGTAACCAGCGTAGTCCGGCGGAGAATCGCACTGCATGCGGTCAAAGGTGCGTGTCATGTTAGTAAATACGTCCAACCACTTCAGGAAGCCCAGAAGCTCACATGAGCAATAAAAAGGGTTACTGTACAACTCACATACAGTCAGCTTGTTGAGATTCACAAATGTGTTGCTGTCCAGCCTCTGGATGCGGTTCATGGACAAATCAATGTTCATAATATTTGGGCACTCCCAAAAGGCATTAGGAGTCACAGTTTCAATAAGGTTCGCTTGGAGGTAGAGGTACTCCAACTTACCCAGTCCTCTTAGAATTCCCTCAGTAAGATTTCTTAATCTGTTGTAACCTAGCTGAAGGACCTGCAAATTAAACTGACCAGCAAAAGCTCCATCTTCAATGTAGGACACCTCATTCTTCGTGAGGTTGAGGTACGTCAGGTTGCCAAAGCGGCTGAGTGATGCGTAGTGCACACTTTTAATTTTATTGTCATTGAGCCGCAAGTCCACAATGGTACTGTTAATGTGCTGTGGTATGGATTCATAGGGCGGCTGGTTTTGGCTGCAAATTGCAAGCCATACAAATCCCTTGTCTCCTTCAATCAACCAGCAGTCCGCCCGTACTTTGCTTGCGTAAAAGAGGGCTGAGAAAACAAACACCCATAAACATAGGGCAGGCATCACTATACCTTGATGACCAGCCATAGAGAAAGAAATCCTGGGGGCAAGACTGCTTGGTGGACTTTAGTCTTCTGGTAAAAAAAATTTATTATATAGTGGAGGTAACTCTTTTCTTTACCATTCTCCACATCTGTACATGAAAAAGTGCTTGAAACGTAGAGTGCTGATGAGAAGTCTTTTCCACCGGAAGACTTTTGATGATTAGCAAATCCTTCTATCCAGCAGTAGAGCAGGAAGCAAATTCTTTGTGCAGTTTAGAGACCGAATCAGTAGTCATTACAAACTCCAAGCTTCAATATACAAGCCTTCAAAGATGACAATGTAACTCTTTCCTGCTGCATGCTCTGTATCTTTTGCACAACATTTCTTAAATCTCATCGAGTTTGCTTCATGTTCATCTCCTTATTCAGTTTCTGTTCAATTATGAGCCAGGAGCCTCTCTGAAACAAAAAAAGCATAAAGTCAATTAACCAAAATATATATTGTCCTATCATCTCCATTAATACAACATTGAGCAAATATTTTTAAGCAATCGAAACAGTGCTAGGTTAATGTCTCTACTGCTATCCTATGTTGCTTAAAAAGTAACACTTGTAAATTCAAAATTAATTTATCATATAGGAAGAGAAGAATAATAGACTAAGTGATATTCCTTTTATTTATTACTTTCACACCTCACTTCTCCATTAAATATCCTGTAACATAAATATAATTAGTCTTAAATGGGTAATAACTGACCCAGAAGAAACTATAGGTAGCTATATACACAAAGATAACTAACAGTACAGAGTACAGACCCACACCAGCTGCTCAGATAATGTAAATCCAAAGATGGATGTCAATGTTAATTTGAGAGTGCTAGGCAAAGTGGGCAAGAGGCCAGGCTTTGGGTTTTTGTCAAAGCACTTGATGTTGGTTTGAAGAAAACCGAAGACTTTAGAGGTAGACTAGTACTTCTGGCCTCTGGCAAAAGCAAAATAAATGTCCTGATCTTTCTCATACTGTAGATTTACCAGGTGGAAGCTTCTAGATACATAAGATGTGACACATTCTTGCAATTTCTTTCAGTATGACTTGCACCACACGAAGAAATGTTCAAATAAAATCTGTTCATGCCTAACTGATCAACTTATCTGTGTGACTGTATTCAAACCAACAGTTCGTTATACTGAGTCACCAGCAAAAATCCCAGTCAGGACCAGGGCTGGACTTAGATGTCAGGTGACTATAGGCACGCAATTCTATGATGCTCCCTACTCCCCAACCCAACACAAAGCATTTAAATAAGTATAATTAATTTACTAACTGCACATTGCAGGTGTAAAAACATCTAAAAACAAATTCTCATTTGACAACTACATATATATAAATGATATAAATGTATGTTCATATTTCTACTTGTAATATTAGAAGTGGTTATGGTTAATTGGGGGTTAATGTTAGAGACAGGTTAACATCAGAGTTAGTTTACCTAGGGTCTGTAGTGTTAAAAATATTACCACTTCGAGAGGGGTTTCAGTTGGAGCATAAGAGCTGTTTATGATTATTGAGTTTAGGGCTAGAATAGGGTTAAAATTAGTAATGGGGTACATGGAGTGTTTAGTTTTAAGAGGAGTTAAACATAGGATTAAGGAAAATGGTCTATTTTCAGGTTTAAGCTTTGAGTGCTGCAGTTTGAATGGGTATTTACAAAGTACTCACCTTCCTATGTCTTCTGTAGAGTCAGTCTACCAAGATTGATAGTATAGCTACAGGAGATGTTACACTTTGTGCATCACTCAAAGCTTCCACGCTCCTCCTACAAGTCATATCCTGTGTGAAAGGCTGTTAGTGGACAGAAGGGAAGTGATCCCTTCAACTTCCTGTCCAGCCTCACACAAGACAGTGGAGGAGCTGAGACAGCACTGAGTTTTACACCCTCTATTACTGTTCCTATGGCTCTGCTGTCAATCATAGAAGGTAGACTGAACTACAGAGGACACCTGCCAAGGCTCCTGGTAATTACAGTATCTCACAAAAGTGAGTACACCCCTCACATATTTGTAAATATTTTATTATATCTTTTCATATGACAACACTGAAAAAATGACACTCTGCTACAAAGTAGTTGGTATACAACCTGTAAACCAGTGTAAATTTGCTGCTACTTCAAAATAATTCAACACACAGCCATTAATGTCTAAACCGTTGGCACCAAAAGTGAGTACACCCCTAAGTGGAAATGTCCAAATTGGGCCCAATTAGCTATTTTCCCTCCCTGGTGTCATGTGACTTGTTAGTGTTACAAGGTCTCAGGTGTGAATGGGGAGCACGTATGTTAAATTTGGTGTTATCGCTCTCACACTCATACTGGTCACTGGAAGTTTAACATGGCACCTCATGGCAAAGAACTCTCTGGGGATCTGAAAAAAAGAATTGTTGCTCTACATAAAGATGGCCTAGGCTATAAGAAGACCCTGAAACTGAGCTGCAGCACGGTGGGCAAGACCATACAGCGGTTTCACAGGACAGGTTCCACTCAGAACAGGCCTCGCCATGGTCGACCAAAGAAGTTGAGTGCACGTGCTCAGCGTCATATCCAGAGGTTGTCTTTGGCAAATAGATGTATGAATGCTGCAAGTATTGCTGCAGAGGTTGAAGGGGTGGTGTGTCAGCCTGTCAGTGATCAGGCCATATGCCGCACACTGCATCAAATTGGTCTGAATGGCTGTCGTCCCAGAAGGAAGCCTCTTCTACAGATGATGCACAAGAAAGCCTGCAGTTTGCTGAAGACAAGAAGACTAAGGACATGGATTACTGGAACCATGTCCTGTGGTCCGATGAGACCAAGATAAACTTATTTGGTTCAAATGGTGTAAAGCGTGTGTGGCGGCAACCAGGTGAGGAGTACAAAGACAAGTATGTCTTGTCTACAGTCAAGTATGGTGGTGGGAATGTCATGGTCTGGGCCTGCATGAGTGCTACCGACACTGGGGAGCTACAGTTCATTGAGGGAACCATGAATGCCAACATGTACTGTGACATATTGAAGCATAGCATAAGACTAGGCTGCAGTGCAGTAGTCCAACATGACCCCAAACATACTTGCAAGACGACCACTGCCTTGCAAAAGAAGTTGAAGGTAAAGCTGATGGACTGGCCAGGCATATCTCCAGACCTAAACCCTATTGAGCATCGGTGGGGCATCCCCAAACGGAAGGTGGGGGAGCACAAGATCTCTAACATCAACCAGCTCCATGATGTCGTCAGTGGCAACCTGTGAAGCTCTGGTGAACTCCATGCCCATGAGGGTTAAGGCAGTGCTGGAAATAATGCTGGCCACACAAAATATTGACACTTTGGGCCCAATTTGGACATTTCACTTAGGGGCGTACTCACTTTTGTTGCCAACGGTTTAGACATTCATGGCTGTGTGTTAAGTTATTTTGAGGGGACAGCACATTTACACTTTTATAGAGGCTGTACACTTACTACTTTACATTGTAGCAAAGTGTCATTTTTTCGTTGTTGTCACATGAAAAGATATAATAAAATATTTACAAAACTGTGAGGGGTGTACTCACTTTTGTGAGATATTGTATCTATCCACACCAGCCTATTTAACCCCTTAAGGACACAACCTCTGGAATAAAAGGGAATCATGACATGTCACACATGTTATGTGTCCTTAAGGGGTTAAACTCAATGAGGCACATTAAAAAAACAGGCGCCCCCTAGTGGCCATGTGCTTCTACGCAGATGCCTAATTTGTCTAATGGGAAATCTGGCCCTGGTCAGGACTGGCACCAGCTCAAACACAAACCCAAGATGCTGGGCTGGAAAGGGGCCATCAGAGATAGTGACTGCTGCCTCACAGTGATTCTGTTCCAGCACACCTCCAGTTGCTTTTCTACATCAGAAGATGGTGCTGTCAGGCTGCAGCCCACAAAACCTGTATGAAAGATGCCCGGAGGGGCAATTTCTCTCCTGCCCCCATCTCCCCTACATTTGCCGCCATTCCATGGAAGGAATGCACCAGAAGGCTTTTTAGAAAATAAAACCACTACAATATGTAATGCATAGAGTGCTTATAGTGCCTATTTTAAACATATTGCCTACTATTTATTTATCTATGCAAAATGTGTTTTGATTTCATTCCTGACTTATTTTTTACTAGACTTGTGTCTGTCCAAAACATTTTGAAAATTAATTTCGCGTATCAGCCTGCACAGTCTACGCAGATAGGTCAATACTTGAATATACCACCTGGAGCAAAGTAAAACGACTTAATACAGCATGTGGTTAACGATTACACTAGAGACTGACCTTCAGCTTGACCTCCGACATATTCCCTAAATATATTTAATTCCTAATATAACAAAATTGAGTTAAACCTGCTCTTCTCTCTATTGATGTCACATATCTGTTACTTACTCCATGACACATATAATCTGGGATGATTTTCTTTGGCAATAGAGAGTACTGTAATAAGCACATTTTATCAGGAGCAGAGTTTAATTTCAACTCATTAGAGCAAGCAATTTGCTGCTTATTTGCTTTGCAAAGTGTGAATGAAACGACAGCACTGTTGGGAAGAAATGCTAAAGAAATGTAGGTAAAAGGCTAATCTCACAGTTTATTGGATTGCTGTGACATGCCTAGGGACTTGATACCTCATTTTATGTCTAAGGCTGTTTAGTTTATAACTAAATGTTTCACAGATAACTGCTGTCAGGAGTATATGTATTTGTCATATATAAGATCAAGCACCCACCACAGATTTTGCTTCTAAACACGGACAAAACGATGAACAAATGAAAACCATAAGCTACGTAAATTTAGAGTCAAGCTGCTAATTAAAAATGTACCATCTAAGGAACAGTCGATCATGAGGTTTTCACCTAATGGAACAATCAGACACACAATGATTTTCCTTCGTTTTCTATTAATTCCAGGAAAAAAACAACCCACTGCTTATGCATTAAAGGGAAACGCCAAGCATCATGAACACTACAGAGTATGGTGGTGGTTGTTTTGCATTACCA